GAGGAGGAGGAGGAGGAGGAAGAGGAGGAAAAGGAGGAGGAGGAGGAGGAGGAGGAGGACGAGGAGGGCCGAATGTTTTCCCCGCCCGCCAAAACAAACAGGGGGAGGGGGGCCACAACTAAAAACCCTTTTCTCGGTTGCGCCTGGATGCGGGGGGGGTCAATGCGCAACCATGCTCACCCCATGGTTCCCGCATCCGAGCGAGACAACAATGAAGGTGCAGAAGGAAGCGGAGAAAGTCGACCCCGCATGACAATGACCCGCACATGCAACAGCGCAGCGCTGTGGCAACACCAAAAACCAAAACTGAGTGGAACCTGGCGCTGACACGTTCACATCGCCCTTAGCCTTAAGTCGGGCGTCTCCCCCTACAGAAGGATTTTCGACGACAAAGTAAAGCGAATCCCACACATACACCCCCAAAAAGCCAAAAGATACGCAAACAATAATCCCCAAACCATTTTTGGATTATCTTTGATTATTCTTCGGGGCAGTTTTTATTTTTCGTCGAAAATCCCGCTGTAGGGGGACACGCCCGACAGAACACCAGCTGGGGGCCACCGATTCCGCTGCGGGACTGCCTCGGGTGGCGCGGCCGTGCTGTCGCCGCCTCGGTCTGGGCGCGGCGCGTCCCCCGCAGGCCCGCCGTCGAGTTGAGGGCGCTTCCGGCGGACGCTCACGCGCAGTCGAGAGGACGCCTGGCCCGGAGGGGTGGCGTGAACGGAGGAGCGCGAGGAAGCCGAACGACAAGACGACGAACGGAAGCGCTTCAGCATGGAGGAGCGAGTAGGTGATGGCGATGATGACGACGATGATGACGATGACGATGATGATGGTAATGATGGTTATGATGCTGATCCTTCTGCTGACGATGATGATGATGCTGCTGATGATGATGGCCGGTGGCCTGTTGTAGGAATACTGGAGATGAAAGAGACCAGCACGATGTTGGGCCCTGACGGGAAGCCGCAACCGCGCCGCAACGGTTGCCCTATGGTCCGACACACCCTATTGTGTTTGCGCCACGCCGCGTGGGTGCGACGGCCACCGGTGACTGGAGAGCGACTCCAACCGGGCAGTGCGGGCCCGCACGGCGACTATGGAGATGATGGCCCACTGAACGTCATCACCCAAGAAAGGAGGGGCACCAGAACGAGCGACGTGACCGAGAATGCCGCCAACCTCCGCGATGAAACGCTCCGCGGTGAAGCAGGCCACAATGAGGCACTCTGCGATGAAGCACTCCGCGATGAAGCACTCCCCGATGAAGCGCTCCACAATGAAGCACGGTCCCCGATGAAGCGCTGCTTGGTGAAGCACACCCCTGCGGAGCACTCGTCGGTGGGGCCCGCCAGGAGAAGCGCGCCACGATGAAGCACTTGAAAAAACACTCTCCGATGAACTGCTCCACGGAGTAGTGCTCCACGATGAAGCACGCCCCGACGAAGCACTCGACGAGCCACCTTTTAGGCAATGCGGCGGTGAAAAACGTGTGGCTGCCCATGGAGGACACGCCGATTCCAGACTGATGGCCAGACCCACGTATACGTTAGCACTCGAAGAAGCACTCCACTTTGTAGCAGTCCCCGAAGTGGCACGCCGCAGTGAAGCACGCGCCAGTGAAGCTCACCAAGCTGAAGCACGCCACAGTGTGGCGCGCTTCCGTGAAGCGCGCTTCTCAGGGGAAGCACGCCGCAACGAGGCCCCACATGAAGCCTTCACCGAGGAACCCGCCTCCGGAGCACTCCCTGAAGAAGCACGCCACAGTAAAGAGCGCCACCCCGATGACCCCCCCCCGATGACGCACTCCACTATTACGCGCGCCTCCGCGAAACACGCCTCCGTGAATCACGCCTCCGTGAATCAGGCCACGATGAAGCACGCCTCCGTGAAGCACGCGTCCGCTGAAGGACGCCAGCATGAAACGGCCATGAAGCCCTCCACGATGTAGCACTCCACGATGAAGCGCGCCTCCCGAGGGAACACGCCTCCGCGAAGCACGCCACGATGGAGCACGCCGCGGTGTAGCACGCACCGATGAAGTGCCCCATACCGTAGCACTCCCCGACGAAACACTCACACCGTGCAGCACGCCGCGATGAAGCACGCCACGATGAAACGATCCACGATGAAGCATTCGAAGGAGCACACCCCGACGAAACCCTCCTCGGACACGAATGCCTCTGCAATATACAGGCGGGCCTCACAAACCCGGTTCGTGCACTGCAGAACACAGCAGGGCCATTGAGATGACCAAGTCGTGATTGAAAACGAGAAACACGGGGCAGGATACGTACGCTAGTAGGGCAGCAAGGCGGCATAGGCCAAGCCCGATGTTGACATCAATACCACTGGGCACGCCGACAGTGCACTCAGCCGAGGAACTGACAGACGGCGGAGGCACCAGCCAGAGGGGAACCACGCTACACAAGAATACGCCGGGCACCGCCGCGAATTGGTCGGGGCAGAACGTGATGCAACGCCCCACGATGATGCACGTCCCGAAGAACCACAACCATTCAGCACTCAGCGCTGGTAGCCAACTTTGAGAACGCGACAGTGCGCACAAGGACGCCACGAGGTAGATCACACGACGCTGCAGACCCTGGCCGACGGCGAGCGAGCAGAGGTGGCTTCTCACACCCAACAGCGTGACGCGCGACAAGGGCGCACCACGTGGAAGGAAGAGACGGGAATGGACAACCACAGGGGCAGGAGTCAGAAAAGCACGTCCGCCGTTGCAGAAGCACCGGCATCGCATGCGGATGACGATGACGATCGGTGGCGTGTTACAGGAATGCTGGAGATGAAGAAAACCAGCGCGTTGTTGGGCTCTGACGGGGAGCCGCAACCGCGCGGTGCAGCCGCAACGGTTGCACGATGGTCCGACACACCCTAATGTGTCTGCACCCCGCCGCGCGGGTGTGACGGCCACCGGTGACTGAAGAGCGACATCAGCTAGGCAGTACGGGCCCAAGGACTGCACGAGGCACGGGGACTACAGAGATGATGATGACGATGATGACGAAGATGATGAAGATGATGATGCTGATGATGATGATAATGATGATGATGACGATGAAGGTGAAGATGATGATATTGATGATGACTTAGGTTGATGCTGCTGATTATGATGAGGATGCTGATGAGGATGATCATGATGCTGATGGATGATGATGCTGATGCTGCTGATGATGATGCTGATGCTGCTGCTGCTGCTGCTGCTACTGATGATGATGATGATGATGATGATGATGATGATGATGATGATGATGATGATGATACTGGTGGTGATGCTGATGCTGATGCTGGGGATGCTTACGATGATGCTGCTGCTGATGCTGCTGCTGATGATGATGATGATGATGATGACGATGATGATGATGATGCTGATGCTGATGCTGATGCTGCTGCTGCTGATGATGATGATGATGAAGAAGATGACGACGACGATGACGATGACATCGTCATCGTCGTCATCCCTCGACGGCCCCTGGAGGGCGCCCGAGAAGGGCCCCCTCCCCGACGGCCTTGCCGCCGCTCCTGGCGCCCCGCGAGCGGCTGCGGCTGCGCTCCCGGCGGCCCCCGCGGCCCCTGCTTCGGCTCCCCCTCCCCGCCGGGGAGGCGGCCATGGCGCCGCGGCGCCAGGGGGAGGGGAGGGAGGGGGAGGGGGAGGGGAGGGGGGGGGGGGGGGGAAGGGAGGGGGGGGGAGGAGCGGGGCGCGGCGCCGAGGGGAGGGACGGAGGAGGGGGGAGGGGAGGGGGAGGGGGCGGGGAGGAAGGGGAGGGGCAGGCCGGGGGCGGGGAGGTCCGCCGGCTGGGGTGTCCCGAAGGCCCTGATCTCCCCATGCCATTTGATGATTTGACAAACGCTAGCTGTGCGGTCTGGCTGATGTCCCTGTGCATTGGAGGGGGAGGGAGAGGATGAAAACGAATGCATATCAGCAGTAGAAGGAGGAAGAAAATGATGATGAGGAGGCGGAACTACATGACCAGGGCGAATCGGAGACGCAGGAAAATCATGGCAAGGTGGGGGATGGCAACGACAGGCAACGACTCGGATGCACAAGTGTAGTCCATGCTGGGGCAAAGCACCGATCCTGAAATGTGACCGACGCTGCAGCGGGAACACTGTTTTTATTGCCGAATGTGCCTAACATTAAACAACAATATCCGCCGTGCCCCCTACCGACACGTGTGGTTGCGCGGTGAGGAGGGGCTGTCTTAGAGAGTAAGGACCCCGACAAGAATAAACACCCCGACAAGCGAAGCCATTTAGTAAACGCTCCCAAGGAAGGAATCGAACAGGGCAGGTTTGTTTAGTAAACACCCAGGGCCGTTTAGTAAACGCCAACTATCGGGGTCGGGGTGTTTGTTCCTCCCTTGATGTCGTCATATCAGAAGAAAGACGGAAGAGGGAGGATGGTGGAGGAAGACAGACCGCACGGCCGCCCCGCCTGCCGCGAGCTTCGAGCCAGCCGAGGCGGAGGCAGCTGCCAAGGATGCCCACGCTGCCCATGCTTTGCGATGTTCTGGCGCTTGCGACCGATGAGCGAGAAAGGCGCACGCGAGAGCGGCCGAACTAACCATTGTAATCTAGCTGCTCGGTGATGCAAGCACACCATGGCACATATGGCAGTATATGAACAAGTGTGGAACACGTTTGGGTCAACAAGCAAACCACAACATTATAAACTCGCGTACGCACGGTGCTACTATGACATGGATTGACACTCCACGCGCAATACGCGAAGAAGGTGGTTTTACGATATTAAACGGCGACCAACAACGTTTAATGCACACCATGCGCATCCACATACCAATCAGTTGTACGTGTAGGACTGGCAAACGTTGAAACATCGGTACTATTGACGAGGAAGTCGAAATGTGCACGGGCATGATCGATTAACATTTTGAAACTGAGACTTCACCAGCGTGTTTGCGTGTTCAACACGTGGGCAGAAAGCACGACAAGGGTTGAACACATGCGACAGCGGACTTGTTCCCACGCTCCCATCGTTACTGGCCGACGTCTCCTCATTGCCGCCGCTCGGGCCTATGCCTAGGCCCAGACTCGCCACCAGTGCTGCGAGTGGCTCACTCAACGCGTCCTCCATCGACGGGCTGGTTCCACCGCCTGGCCTCTTCAGCCTGCCGCTACGGTGCAAGGCCAACACTCCGCACAAGGTCAGCAACACGGCGACCCGCTTCCAGCGGATCAGGCTTGATGGCGACAACCTGTGCGGAGCGTCCTGCCCGCGGTCCTCAGGCCGTTCTCCCACAGAAGGCGAACGGCTCCATACCTAGAAAAGGGACAGCAACTACATACACATAAACCTTGGGGGGCCGCACGGATTTCTTGGATCGGCGCTGGCCCCCCTCGCTAGCGTCCCAAGCGCGCTGGGGGGCGGCGCCAGAGGCGCCGCAAGAGGGTTCCAGTGCCGACCCAAGAAATCCGCACGGACCTTCACGAGCTTATGTTTGTGCCGAACACCTCTTCCCCAGTAGCTGCAGCCAGCGCGAATACTCTTCCGTCGCCAGCTGCGCCAAATACGCGGGAGCCGTCCGGGCTGAAGGACAAACCGCTCACAGAGGGCCCCACCTGAGATGGGAGCCGTGGTCCGCTGGCCATCCTGAAGGGCCAACGAGGGGGGGCCTCATGACCAATCATGCATGCCCTCCAGAGGCCAACGCACGCCGCCAACAAGGTGTGACTCGCGGCCGCTCTGGCTTTTCTTGTCTGCCTCTGGAGCGCACGGGTCTGGCTGGCCGTTCCAACCTCCCTCCCTCGAAATCCGGCGTCGTGAGCGAAGCGCACTGCGCCGCGACAGAGCACGGCCGGATGAGCGAAAGGGCCTTACGGTTCAGTCGGGCGTGTCCCCCTACAGGGGGAATTTCGACGAACAAAACAAGTGCTTAAAAAATTGTCCAAAAAGGTCATACAATATTCAAAAAATAGTCCCCAAACTATTCTTGGACTATTGTTTGACTATTTTGGGGGTATTTTTCATTTTTCATCGAAAATCCCCCTGTAGGGGGACACGGCCGACTTAAGCTTACGCGACGACGCGGCGGCCTGACGCCGCAGCTGACGCGGGGCGCCGGCACAGAGCGCCACACTGGCAGCCAGGGGGCCTTCTCGCGACCTCTTGAGCGAACAGCTTACGCGCCAGTCCGTGCACGTACAGACCTGCCCAACGCCCTAGGGTTAAGTCGGGCCTGTCCCCCTACAGGGGGATTTTCGACGAAACATAAAAAATACACAGAAAATGCCAAAAATGTCCAAAAATAGTCTGGGGACTATTTTTTGGGGTATTTTTTGACCATTTTGCAATATTGTTCGAATATGTTTTTTGTTTTTTTTTTCATCCACAATCCCCCTGTAGGGGGACAGGCCCGACTTAGCCCTAGGGGGACACTGCGCATCACCGGGAGCCCTTTGTCCACGCCAGGGTCGCAGAACACTCAAATCCACCGCCTCGTCGCATGCGACGGTGCGCCGGGTCTCGTGCCGTGACGACCTCCGCCTTGGTTCCCGACGCCGCGAAGATCGTCGAACCTTGGACGAACGGCGGCTTCTCGATCGCCAGATCGTTCCCTCTATATATATATATATATATATATACATATACATACATATATACATATATACATATATATATATATATATATATATATATATATATATATATAACACACAAGCGTGAACTTTTAGCGCTACGTGCGGATTTCTTGGGTCTGTGCTGGGCCCCCCTCCCTGTTGTGCGCAGCGCGCCAGGGGCGGCGCTGGAGCTGGAGGCGCCGCCAGGGGGCCCCAGGCGCCGATCCAAGAAATCCGCGCGGAGCGCCAACAGTCTATGTTTATGCAGGTGTTTTTTCTTGTTTCAGTATGGGACGAGTCTTGGTTTAGGTTGGGCGTGTCCCCCTACAGGCGGATGTTGGCGAAAAATGAGAAATAGTAAAAAATACACCGAAAATGTTCAAAAGTTGTCAAAACATCGTCCCCATACGTCTTGGCCCCGGCGGCGTCCAACCTTGAGCGCACGCGGCGGGGTCCTCGCCGCATCGACGCGAGACAAGCCTGCCATGCGCGGGGATGCCGGCCCCATCCCTGTGCCGGTCCCATGAGGGGGAGGGGCAGGGGGAGGAGGAGGAAGAGGAAGAGGAGGAGGAGGAGGAGAAGGAGGAGGAGGAGGAGGAGGAGGAGGAGGAGGAGGAGGAGGAGGAGGAGAGGAGGGAGGAGGAGGAGGGAGGAGGAGGAGGAGGATGAGGAGGAGGAGGAGGAGGAGGCGGAGGCGGAAGAGGAGGGGAGGAGGAGGAGGAGGAGGAGGAGGAGGAGGAGAGGAGGAGGAGGAGGAGGGAGGAGGAGAAAGAAGGAGGAGAGGAGGAGGAGAGGAGGAGGGAGGAGGAGGAGGAGGAGGGGGAGGAGAGGAGGAGGAGCAGGAGGGGGAGGAGGGGGGGGGGGGGAGGAGGAGGAGGAGGAGGAGGAGGAGGAGGAGGAGGAGGAGGAGGAGGAGGAGGAGGAGGAGGAGGAGGAGGAGGAGGAGGAAGAGGAGGAGGAGGAGGAGGAGGAGGAGGAGGAGGCGTGGCGCCCGATCGGGGCTCGAGCCTCCAAGCCTCGCCCGGCGCCCGTCAGGCCCCGCGGCACATGCGCGTACGAAGGGGGGGGCAGGGGCTGCGTCGAAAGAGGAAGGGGCGGCCATGACGTCCGGGAGGCGTACGGCTCGGGTTCTGTCGGGAGCGGTCAAGAGGGGGGTGTCCACTCGCCATCGCTCGGACGTCCATTCCCTGTGCTTTTTTCAGTTTCGCGCGTGGTTTTTTCGCCAAATGGTCGAGGATGCTCCTCGATGGTCCTCGCCGAAGAAAAAATGCACACGTCCGAGCGATGCCAAGTCCAAGAGGGGGGAGTGCAAATCATGACCGGCGGCATGTGCGCGGCCCAGCGGGGGGCCAGGGACGTAATGAAAAAAGAAGAGGCGCCATGGAATCTGGGGAAATATCATGGCCCCCGCCATGATATCCCCCCCCCTAGTCATCACCCCCCCTCTTTTCCGCCCCCGATTTGGGAACTCGGGCTGGCCTGCCGGTACCATCCGGAAAACGACGGGGCCCAGTCTGAAATTTGACGCGAGCTCTAGCAGCAAACATCCCACGAAAACTGGACCATCAGACTCCAGGACCGGCACGTCGAAACAACCCGACGAACCTGGGTCCCGCGAACTCGAGACTTACGTTTCCAAGGATGCGCGAGACGGGGATTGATCCATATCCACCGCCTGGGAACTGACGTCCTGGGGACCCAGCAGGCGGTCGACATGGATATACCGTCGGGGCGCTGACCTAAGGAACCCTAAATAAGGAACGAGGCCCCTTTTCTCCAGAAGTTGAACTTCGATTTCCCTTCGAAAGCATAAGTAAAACGTGGGGCAAACTGTGATACAATTAAGGAACCCAGAGCCCCTACCCAACGAAAAGGGTTCCTTCTTCAGCGCCCCGACTGTATTTTGGCCCCTGGGGGCACAAACATATCCACATCCGCCGCCTGTCGAGGTCTCCGAGGACCGATCCTCCAGGCTGCTCTTATGCACGAATGCCCGCCTCGGAGAATGCCGTCTGGGGGATGACCCCCCCTTGGGTGCCCCCGAGAGGAAGGGGCGAGGAGCGCCCGTCCTGCCGGGCACTGCTTCATGGGGGGAGCGAGAATAGGGAGGTGGGCGAAGAAACGTGAACCCTTCGTCTGAGTAGGGCATCGACTGCAACATCGATTTGCCCTCACATCGATCCTGCAGTCGATCACCTACTCGTCTCGTGCACTTTCCGGGCCCCAGGAGGCCCCTTTAGGGCACCTTTCTTGCAGCCCCTCGATACCCCCCCCCTATGTCCCTGACCTTCCAGAGTGTTTAAAAACATAGCCCTCCAGACCGATAGACCTACCTGGGGACTGCCTGAGCCCTCGACGGGAATCTGGGCGTCGAGGTCCTGGTGCTATCTTCTAGCCCTCCTGGAAGGTCAGGGGTGTCGCCCCCCCACTCGGAGCGCCCAACCCTGACCTCTCCTCTTATGTTGCTCCCATCGTACTTAAGGACCACGTCCCAGGCATAATTTCGAGCACCCGGAGAAGTGCCGAAACAGTGCCGAAACGGTGTCGGGCGAGTGTCTCCCAGGGCCCGGCACGTGAAACCCCTCGAGTTTCGGTACTTCTTGTGGTGCTCGACATTCCTTCTCGCGATGAAGGCTAATTAAAATATTGAGGGATGAAAAAACGACCCTACCCTAGGTTACAAGTGCGCGGTCTGTAAACCTCCTGGGAGCCCCCAAGGCCTGGAGCCGGCAGGACGCGGCACACCACGCAGGGACTACCCTGTCGACCCACAGGAGCTTCCGCGCACGGCGCCTCGTAAACCCAGGTAGGGGCGTTTTTGATGCCCTTGAAAGCAGGCTGGAACATCCGAGCCCTCCTCGCGACGCCCCCGATCGAAAGGACTATCAAGCCTGCTCGGATGCTGGTATGTTTTGTGTGCCAAGCGCAGGTGGCTTTCGCCCTCCAGGGGCTCTTCAGCCGAAACGGCACCGCAGAGGCATCGGATGAAAGGCCGCTCGCACGTGCAGTTTCCTAGCGAGCGAGCGACCTTTCATCCGATGCTTCTGTGCAGGCCCCTCGCGCGGCCAGCAGACCGCGGCATGCGTGCCACAGCTCCTCGCCCGTGCGCGCCGCCAGCGCGCGCAGCCCGCCGCCCGCCTCGCCGAGGAGCACGCGGCCCCCGTGCGGGCACGCGGCCAGCGCGGCCGCGCCGCCGCCGCCCGGCCACCCCCGCGACCACCGCGCCGCGCCGGTGGAGGCCTCCCAGCGGGGCCGGACCCAAACTTATGTTGGCGTGTCCCCTCCTCCTCCTCCTCCTCCTCCTCCTCCTCCTCCTCCTCCTCCTCCTCCTACAGGGCTGCACCCCGGGCCCCGCCCTCTCCGGCCCCCTGAGGCCCCGCCCGCCTGTGCCCTGCCTCCCCAATTGGAGCTGTGCGCAGCCCGCCCAGCTTTTAGCGGAGGAGGTTCGCTCTCGCCCCGCCGACCAAAAAGTTCCCCTACAGGGGCGATTTTCGACGACAAATAAAAAGAATACCCCACAAATGCACCAAAAATACACAAAACAATACAAACAAAATAGTCCCCAGACTATTTGTGGACTATTTTTTGACTATTATTGGATTTTTTTTATGACGCCCGACCTAAACCCAAACGGCGTCGTTCGTTCTTGTCTCGTTTTCGTTGTCCCTCGCCTCTGTCTCGAATACACCTTCTTACCCCAGGACGAAGGCAAAACGAGAACGGCCCACGAAGTCGCCCAAAACACCGTTTAGGTCCAGCCCTGGCCCACCGGGGCCGAACCCAAACTTCTGTCGGGCGCGTCCCCCTACAGGGGGAGCTTCAACGAAAAATTTTGAAAAATACCCCCTACAATACCCCAAGAAAATCCAAACATGCTATAAAAAATATTCCTGACTATTAATAGACTATTTTTCGACCATATTTGGGGTATTTTTCTTTTTCGTCGAAAATTCTCCGGTAGGGGGACACGTTCGACCTAAACCCAAACGGCGTCGTTCGTTCTCGTTTCTCGTTTTCGTTGTCCCTCGCCTCTGTCTCGAGTCCACCTTCTTACCCCAAGACGAGGTCGAAACGAGAACGGCCCACGACATCGCCAACAACACTCGGGTCGGGCGAAAGGGGGGGATAGCAAAGGGGGGGGGTGAGAATCAGCTCACGTAGCTGATTTTCCCGGCGCCTCCCGGCGCCGGAGGCGCCCATGTATCGAGGAATGGGCCCCTCGGTGGGGCCGAAACCAGCTGCATGCAGCAGATTCCCCCCTTTCCCAATCCCCCCCTTTCGTCCGGCCCGAGCCACGAGACCTGGGGAGATCTCGTGTCCCTCGCCATGAGACCCACACGCCCGTCCTCGCCCCCGGGGAGGAGGAGGAGGAGGAGGAGGAGGAGGAGGAGGAGGAGAGGAGGAGGAGGAGGGGGAGGAGGAGGAGGGGGAAGGAGGAGGAGGAGGGGGAGGAGGAGGAGGAGGAGGAGGAGGGCACTCCGTTGAGGTCCAGCCCTGGCCTCCACCGCGCTCAGCGTCCCGGCGGCCGTGGCGGCGAAGACCTGCGCGGGGCCCGCCGCCGCCGCTCTTCCGCCGTCGCTGGCTCGCCAGTCTGAAGTCGGGCCTGTCCGCCTACAGGGAGATTTTCGACGAAAAATGTAAAAAAAAAGGCTCCCAAATGGTTCAACCATATTGAAAAAAAAGAGTCCCTGGACTATGTTTTGACTATTTTTGGATATTCCTCCTCTGTCGAGGAACGGGCCCGACTGAACGCCAGTCCCGCCGTTTGGGGGTCGTCTGCTGCGGTGCATTCGAGGGTCGCGAAGGGTCGCATTCGAGGGTCGCGAAGGGTCTCTGGCCCCTCGTCCGCATTCGAGGGTCGCGAAGGGGGGGCACTTCAGATTCTGCAGGGCGCTGCACTTCGATGCCCAGGCCATGGCACTGAGACGAAGCGCCCCCCAAGCGTTCCATCCACCTATCCTCGCCATCGCTCGGACGTCCATTCCCTGTGTTTTTTTCGGTTTCGTGCGTGGTTTTTTCGCCACATGATCAAGGATGCTCCTCGATGGTCCTCGCCGAGAAAAAATGCACACGTCCGAGCGATGCCAAGTATCCATCCATCCATCCGTTCATCCCCCTCCAGTGCTGCCCTGTGCGGAGCGCATGGCGCGCGTTGTGCGCGCCGCAGGCGTTTGGGCTCGGCAGGGGCGGCGGGGGGGTCCAGAAACTCGGTCACCGAACGTGGCGCTTCGCGACGCGCGAGGCGCGACCATCGCGGCGCCCCCGCGCCGCCGCCGCCTGGGGGAAAATTGGCAGATCTCCGCTCCGGGCAACGACGCGAGAGGCACGGCATCTTCGAGCTCGTGCGGGTGGTCCAGAGAGTGTATCGGATTCCAGCGGTGGTCTTCTGGTTGGCCCCCTCGTGCGGCCCGCGGCCATCTTACATCAGGACGCACAGCTCCTTCTCCTCCTCCTTCTCCTCCTCCTCCTCCTGGCCCTTCTGTCGCTCGTGTTCCTCCCCCTCCTGCCGCTCGTGGTCCTCCCCCTTCCTGGAACTCCTGCCCTTCTTTCCCTGTTGCACTCCTCCAGCGCTGAACGAAACCGCCCGCGCAAGCGCAGAGGAGCGCCGTAACTCAGCCCTGTTGCTCCCATCTCGACTGAAACATTTTCTCAATCTCGCTCATCATCTAAGCGACGATCAAAAAGGGAACTTGCCCGAGATGACGCAGCGACCCTACGCCGCGGCTTACGCGGGCCGCCCGCGAGCAACTCACGCGCGAATGTCGGCGCTGACGACCCGTTTCTCTTGCCTCGCTCATATGGGAACGCTCCCTGTCAAGCGGGCCCCGCGGACGGGCGCCATTCCGGTCCGCCACCGGTCGGTCTGTACAGGGGCGGTCAGGCCTCCACCGCCACCACCTGTCTCCACGCCAGACATGATGACCCCTACCCCCTGACTCCATCCCCTTCCCTCCCTTGCCTCATCCTTCTCTCTTCCCTCCCTCCCTCCCTCCCTCCTTACCTCCCTCCTCCTTGTCTCTACCGCCTCCTCCTCCTCCTCCTCCTCCTCGTTCTCTCCTCCCTTCCTCCTCCCTCCTCCCTCCCTACCTCTTCCTTCTCTCCTCCCTCACTCCCGTCCCTCCTCCCATCATCCCTCCCTCCCCCCCTCCCTCCATACCTCCCCTCCTTTCTTTTCTCCCCTCTCCTCTCCTCGCGCAGCCGGCCGGGACCGTGGCGCCGTCGGGGCTGAGGACAGCGCGTCGCAGGCGCGAGTCGAGATCGAAGCTCCACTGGCGAGAACCTCGGGAGAGGAAGCGGGCGAACATGATCGGATGACGCAGGACAAGGGCAAGGGAAAGGCAACACCGAGCAGGCACAGATCTGGGAACTCTGTGTACCGGCGGGCCCCGGGGGGGGAATGCGTCGGCCTGGGACGGCCGCGCCAGAGAGCGCTCCCTCTGCAGAGGCTCCGGGGGGCGCTCCTGCTCCGCATTCTCTCCCTGCTCCTCCTCCTCCTCCTCCTCCTCCTCCTCCTCCTCCTTCCTCCTCCTCCTCCTCCTCATCATCATCATCCTCATCCTCATCCTCATCCTCATCCTCATCCACATCCTCATCCTCATCCTCCTCCTCCTCCTCCTTCTCCTCCTCGTTCTCCTCCTCCCCCTCCTCCTCCTCCTCCTCCTCCTCCTCCTCCTCCTCCTCCTCCTCCTCCTCCTCCTCCCCCTCCTCTCCTCCCGACGCGCGCCAGTCGATGGCCGGGGGAGAGTGAGGAGCGACGAGGCTCGAGGAGGAGGAGGAGGATCGAGGAGGAGCGTGAGTAGCGAGGTCGCGGAGAGGGGGCGAGGAGGAGAGAGAGGGAGCGAAGGGAGCGAGGGGAGCGAGGGCCCAGAGTAGGTATGAGGAGAAGGGGGAAACGGAGAGGGGCTGGAAGCTGTGGCAGCGAGACTCCGAGGTCGTAGTTGTCGTGTGAGAGAGCCCTCGTACAGGAGAGCCCAGAATCGAATCGACAAGTCGGATCGGAAGACGACATGAGTCGGATCGGCGGGAATCGGCAGCCGAATCGGGAAAGGTCGAATCGGCAGAAATCGGCAGGCGGATCTGCCTCCAATAAGAAATCGGAACCCATATCGGAATCCCAAGTCGAATCGAATCGGAATCGGAAGCCATCGAAATCGAATCGAATCGGAGGAGTCGAAACGAGCCCTGCTCGTAGAACCCTCAAGCCGGCGAGGGCTGGGCCCAGGCTGGCCGCCGCGGTGGGCGCTGCCAGGTTACCGACCAGCTGTCAACTCTCTATCCACAAGTTGGGGGGTGAGGTCGCAGTGGAGGGGAGAGAGAGCCCCCCCACCGGGAAATCGGTTTCGGCGTCGTGTTTGTGCCGTGCGTGCGGGCGAGGCGAAGCTGCGCCGTCGCTAGGGCAATTCGGATGCAAAAGTCCGGCCCTCCGGTGGGCGCGCGGTGGCTTGGGGTGTCCCGCCGTGGTGTCTCGCGGCGTCACGATGGTGTCCCGCGGTGTCTCGCTGTGGGCGCGCGAGAGGAATGATCCCGCCGTCGCTGGGGTGATTCGGATGCAAAGGTCTGGCCCTCTGGTGGGCGCGCGGTGGCTGGGGGTGTCCCGCCGTGGTGTTCCGCATTGTCCCGATGGTGTCCCGCCTTGGTCCCGCCTTGGTGTCCCGATGGTGTCTCGTGGTGTCCCGTGGTGTCCCGTGGTGTCCGGCGGCGTCCCGTCGGTGTCCCGCGGTGTCGCGTGGTGTCGCGTGGTGTCCCGCGGTGTCCCGCCGTGGTGACCCGATGGTGCCCCGATCGATAGTAAGATGCATAGTAAGAACGATCGCTAGTGGGATCGATCGCTGGACCCATCAATACTAAGACTGGCCGTGAGGTTGGTAGTTGGATCGATCGAGTGAGATCGACAGCGGGGTCGATAGTGATATCACATCGCAGCGCAATCATCACGCGTCGTCGCCAGCTGGAGAGCGCGCCACCGACATCGTCATAATCACGCCCATCGCAGTTGCCAGCAGTTGGTTCTTTCTCTTCCCTCCCAACCTCCTTATCAACCGAAAGGTGGTCGTATAGGTACATGTCTGTCTTTGCCTGCCTGTCTGTCTGCCTGGCTGTCCGCACGTCTGTCTGCCAGTCTCGGCGTATGCATACCTATGCGACCACCCTTCGGGTGATAAAGGAGGTTCGGGGGGGGGGAGGAACCAACGTCTCACTCGATCGGTCTCACTATCGATCTCACTATCGGTCTCGCTCGATCGATCTCACTCGATCGATCTCACAATCGATCTCACTCGATCTACTTCATTCGATCGATCTCAACATCGATCTGACTATCAATATCACAATCGATCTCACTATCGATATCACTATCGATCTCATAATCGATCTCACACTCGGTCTAACTATCGATATCACTATCGATAGCACAATCGATATCACAATCAACGTCATCATTATCAACATCGTCGTCATCAACGTCATCAACATAATCATCATCAGCATTGTCGGGACACCATCATCATCATCACCTCATGACCATCATCATCGTCATTATCATCACCATCATCATCATCATCATCATCATCATCGTCATCATCATCGGGACATCATCATCGTCACCATCATCATCATCAACATCATCATCGGGACACCGTCATCATCATCGGAATACCATCATCATCATCATCATCATCATCATCATCATCATCATCATCATCATCATCTCATCATGATGATGAACGACATCAACATTATCATCATTATCTGGGCACCATCATCATCATTAACAACATCATCATCAACACCATCATCATCGGAACTCCATCATCATCGTCACCATCAGTATGATCATCATCACTACCATCATCATCAACATCATCGGGACACCATCATCATCATCAACATCAGCACCATCATCACCACCATTGGGCCACCATCATCAGAATCATCATCATCACCTCATCATCATCCTCATCCTCATCCTCAACATCATCATCATCATCATCATCATCATCGGGACACCATCATCGTCATCATCATCATCAATATTATCATCATCATCATCATCATCATCATCATCATCATCATCATCATCATCATCATCATCATCATCATCGGGACACCATCATCATCACCATCATCATCAACAGCATCATCATCAACCTCATCATCATCATCATCATCATCACCATCATTATCGGGACACCATCATCATCTTCATCATCATCACATCATCTGATCATCATCAACATCATCAGGATCAACATCATCATCATCATCATCATCGGGGCACCATCATTATCATCAGCAACATCATCATCAACATCATCATCATCGGGGCGCCATCATGACCACCATCACCATGACCATCATCATCATCAAAATCGTCAACATCATCATCATCATCATCATCGTCATCATCATCATCGGGACACCAGCATCATCACCACCATCACCATCATCAAACTGATCATCATCATCATCATCATCATCATCATCATCATCATCATCATCATCATCATCATCATCATCGTCAACATCATCAACATCATCATCATCATCGTTATCATCATCATCATCATCATCATCATCATCATCATCATCATCATCATCATCATCGGGACACCGACGGGACACCGGCGGGACACCGGCGGGATACCGCGCGCCACCGGCCCCCGATCAGGACTCTGGCGGGACACCACGGGGCACCGGTTGCCGGAAGGGAGACTTTTGGTCCGGCCACGCCTCAGCTACAGCAGACTTATTTCTCGCCCGCCCACGCAGCTTCGCCTCGCCCGCACGCACGGCCCGCACGAACACGAAACCGAAACCGATTTCCCGGTAGGGGGGCTCTCAGTTCCCCTTCGATCTCACCCCCTCACCTCCGATACCCTAGCACTCATACACACACACACACACACACACACCTTATCTACATGATGTAGACAAGCATGCCTATGCATAAACGTTTGCCAGCGTGGACATGTAAGCTCAGCGGTGCAGCGTGTGCAGAAAAGGAACGTTGTGTGCAAGCTGTGCGATGCAAGCTTTGTGGTGCAAGCTATGTGGTGCAAACGATGGGGTGTGAGCTATGTGGTACCAGTAATGTGGTTAGAGACCTCCTTGATGGGGTCCGAGTAGGTGGGGTCGAAGGATCGCGCCGCATCGCCAATGCATCGCCGATGTATCGGCGATGCATCGGCGATGCATTGGCAACGTCGGCGATGCATCAGCGACGTCGGCGTGGGGAAACACGGTCACCACATCGAGCCGCATCGTCGCTGCATCGGCGATGCGGCCCGATCCTCCGACCCCATCTACCCGGACCCCATCTAAGAAGCCTAGAGTGGTGCACGCCATGCGTTGCGAGACATGTGGTGCAAGCCAGGTGATATACGCTGTGCGGTGCGGTCCGTGCAGTGTAAGCTGTGGGGTAAGCTATGCGGCATAAGCTTTGGGAGTGTAAGCGACACCTTGGACGATCCACCCAGGGCACGAGGCCCCAACGCCCACAGCATTGGTATCCTCCTCCTCCTCCTCCTCTTCCGCGTCCTCCTCCTCTTCTTCCTCATCCATGTCCTCCTCCTGGTCCTGCTGCTGTTCCTCCTCCTCCTCCTCCTTCTCCTCCTCCTCCTCCTCCTCCTCATCCTCCCCCTCCTGCAAGACTGCCCCAAGACGGGCCAACAGCAGGCCTCAAGACACGGCCGCACAGGCCGCACAGGCCCCGAAGAGGTCCCCAAGAAAGCCCCAAAACGGGCCAGGATGACCCCAAGACGCCCTTCACAGCACTCCACGTCGGAACCTGGTTGTTGAGGAACACCGCGGTTAGCAGCAAGATGGCTCCAAGAAGCGCCCAGAGCCTACAGAAGGGCCCCCCATGAGTCCTCAAGAGGCCCCAAAGAAGCCTTCCAGAAACCCTCTAGAGACTCCCCAAGGAAGAGTCTTAGCGAACGACTGAGGATTGGAAGGTTCAAAAGGAAGGGCGAGAACGACGAAGGGAAAGAAGGAAGAGGAAAGGGAGACGGAAGAAAACAAAAAGAGGAACGACAAGACCGACTCTGGGGATGCCGATATCTGATGACTCTGATGCTTATTTCTCTCTCTCTCTCTCTCTCTTCCTTTCTCTCTCTCTCTCTCTCTTCTCTCACTTCCGCTCGTTCGCGAAAATTGTAAGACCTTGGTGCACCGCGCGAAGCGCCATTGTATTCCCGTATGTCAATATTTCTGAATTGCACTGACTACTTTTCAGCCTACTCATCATCTCCCTGATTCGCTATCTTCGAAATGTTACGCTTGCTTGTCCACGTCCTACCGCTCCTCAACTATATCCATCTTGCGTTATTCCTCCTCCTGTTCTGTCTCCTCATCGCCTAATTATCGTTATACGTTAGGACAACTTGGATGGGCTGGGGTAATAGCGCCAAGATAGTAAAACACTGCATGTGCAAATAAGACGTCTTTTGCGCTGTATGGTCAAACTATAAAACTGCAAGCAAGTGCGGTAAAACAAGAGAAACGAGAAGGTTGTTGGAACAAAACAGGCGAGGAGCCCGCCAGGGCGCAGAGCAAGTAAGCTAGCAGCCTGTGAAGGATGAGGGGGAACGCGGTCAACACCCTCGTCGTCCGTCCTCCTCGTCCTCGGCATCCTGTTCCTCGTCCATCATCGCGCAACAAAGAACGGGGCACTCCTTACGGCCCGTTGAACCCGAACTGGTATCCACGGCATGCATTGCAGCATCCCCGGAAGCACAAAACACGGACGCGCCGTCCGGCTTCACGAGCAAGACGAATTCCTCGTCACCGCTGGACTCCAGGTCGTACTTCCACCTGCAGGGTGGTCGGGTATCCGAAGTCTCCGTCGGTCCCAACGAGGAGGAGAAGGAGGAGGAGGAGGAGGGGAAGAGGAGGAAGAGGATCACGCCCCCTGGTCCGTCTCGACCGCCCACCCGGGATAGGGGAGCGCGCGCGTCCACTGCGGCCAGCTGCGCCAATGGAGGCTGCCCATGCACCGGCGACAGCGGGTTGGAGAAGATCGTTTTCCAGGTCGCGCCGCGTAGCCGATGCATCGGCGATGCGGCGCGCTGCTGCCAGCCCATCGGCTCTGGCCCGGATTGGGCGCCTGCAGCCAGACCCCCTCCAGGCGCGGCCTGGCCGACCCCTTCTGTGACGCGATCCTGCCGTGATGAGCCCTTCACCCTCAAGGCTCCCGTGAGGCCGCCTGCCCACTTCTGCAGGCGAGGTGGGGACCGTCGCAGCCGGGATCGATCGGGGGGAGGCCGCTCAAGCCGCCGCCGTCCCCTGGATGTCGCCCAGCTAGGCTTGCTCGCTTGCTTGCACCCTCTAAGCGGCGCCTTTGGAGAAAGGCGCGTCTGAAGCTGGAGCCACGAGGCCCGGCTTTTGTCGGGCCCCTGCGGGGAAACCAGAAACACCCACACACCCATCGAGAAGAGCGCAGAGTAGCCCAAAACATCGCAGGTCGGAGCCAACATCTAGGCACATGCACCGAACAAGCTCTCCCCTCCATGCTCCCCCGTGACCAATGCAAATGTCTAAATTCTCTCGGCGGATTGCCTGCCGTTGCAATCCTCCGATTCCGACCATGTTTTCGTTCGAATCGCCAGGCCCAAGGGTTCTCGACCACTTCCCCGAGACTGGTTTTCATGCCGAACCGTTTTCTGAAGGTCCTGCGGTCCACAGGCGGCCCCCAAGCGCAAATTCTGTAGAACCAAAGCGCTGGTGCGATTTTTTGGCATGCACATGTTCTCGGCCTTTACCCCCCTCCAGCCCCAAACCTCGGACTGAAAAAACATAAACCGAGGATCATAGGCAGCGACGCGAAACTGAGTTGTCCGCTCTGGGCCCAGGGAGCACCAAGAGGAGTGCGGTGAGTGAGTCGACGGGCGTGTTCCGCAGTGTCCAGCACGCGGCGGCGCAAGTGGCGTGTAGTCCTCCCCCCTCCCCCCCCCTTTTCTGGCTCCTCCTCATCCCAACCCGAATGTTGCTGGACGTGTGAGCAGCTCTCTATGCACGACTTGAATGTGTAGATCCGGCGGGCTGTCGCACTAACTTCGCTTCGGAATGGTGTGCTATTATCCAAACTCGCAACCCTCGCGCTGCCATGGAAGCCCAGCTTGGAAACTGGCGCGCCACTCGGGCACGGGGCGATTACGTACGTTTGCTCTCCTAGCCACTGGGGCTGGTTGGCCCAGGTGTGCCACGCCATGCGCACATACAATGTGGCATCGTCGTGGGACATGCACACCAACATGATGAAGCACATGCGGACAAACAAGAATACATCGGATGACTTCTAATCATAACATGCATATGTCGCCGCGAATTTTGAATCTTGCGCGTATGAGGCTTTCGCTTTCGGAGACGTACAGGGAGGAGCTTATACCAGCAACTGCTGCTGCGTCCTCCGCACCCTGTGAAGCAGCAGCAAACATGAGCACAAATACTGCCACAATACTTACGCAGTCGGCATGCCCTTGGGTCAACGCTGTGACGTCTACGACGGCAAAACTGAAGAGGCCACGCGCCACGGCCAGGAGGACCCACGCAAACCAGACGAGTTTTGCATCCAAGACGTCAGAAGAAACGCTCCACATGACGGCGCGTCGAGGCTATCACTGCTCCGCCAAAGCCTCCCAAGCCAGCGCGGGCGATCAAACGCAGCTCTCTGTGGCAAGCTCCGCTCCGCAAGAAGGGACGCCCCGCGATATCTTGTTCCCAGGGAAATTTCGCCAGCGCCTCGACCATGAACCTGTCGGGAAGGCGAGATGCGTGCGCGCGAAAGTCTCCATCTCGCTCTACAACCCCGATGGTTATTCATCTCTTCCACGTGTTTCAAAGAGTTTTTTTGTGGGCATTGCCAAGGGTTGTCGCTCGCTGCCAACAATTTGTTCAGCGGCTTCTGGTTCAACTGGTCGGCCAGCTTCTCGAGCCAGTCCTCTGCCTCCTTGGGCCAATCGGTGGTGCGGGGAGGATGAGTTGGACCAGCTCCTTCACGCTGCTGGTAGCGGTGCTGCTGGAATCCTCGTCTCCAGCACGGCGTCGCCGCGGACGACGATGACTCGCTCTCCTTTGGCGCTCTCGCGTGGGCAAGCTGAACAGAGCCAGTGGAATTTAGCTCGCTGAGGGGCAGCGAACGCGATCTGTGTTTCTGGGGCGACGGGGGAGGAAGTAATGCTCGTAGCGTAAGAGCAAACCTTAGCAGCCCAATCGTTCGTAAGAGCAAACCTACGGTCCGAACTTGTCGCGAATGGGTGTCGTAAGGGTTGTTATTGACGGGTCAAGCGCGCCGGCTGAGCGTATTGAGATCTGGCCCTGGAAACAAGCTGCCCCCCAAGCGACCTCCACACCATGCCGTCCCTCCTTTCTCGCTCCTCCTCCCTCCCCTCCTGCTGCTGCTGCTGCTCCTCCTCCTCCTCCTCCTCCTCCAATCGCGCACGCTGTGCACTATGAGACAGCCGACGTGCAGTCGCTCCCGCAAAGCGGCGAGATATCAGGCTGGCATTGTCTTTTGCCCACGCGCTCCGGCGTATGGCAGTTCGCTCGTTCGTTCGTTCGGCCTCTGGGCTGGACCGTCGGCCAGCTTCTCGAGCCAGTCCTCTGCCTCTTTGGGCCGATCGGTGGTGCGGGGAGGATAAGTTTGACCAGCTTCTTCACGTTACCGGTAAAGGTGCTGCTGGAATCCTCGTCTCCAGCACGATGTCGCCGCGGACGACGATGACTCGCTCTCCTTTGGCGCTCTCACGTGGGCAAGCTGGACAGAGCCCATGGACTCTTTTTTTCTGGCGCCCGTGGTCATTGCATTCTTCGCCCTCGCGCCGGGGCCCCGCGCGCCGCCGGAGGCCGCCGCGGCCCCCGACGCTGCCGCCGCCGTGAAACTCACCCCCATTCTTTGAAGGGGCCCCAGGACACAGAAATAAATACACACAAATGAAAATATTCACAATGTTTTCCTCTATTTTCTGGGTTTCTCTCCCCCCCCCACTTCCCATATTTTCCCATCTTTTCCTGGGAATCGACGATGAATTGTGTCTGTGTGTTTTTTCCCCTCCTGATTCTTCTCCGTATTATTCTGCTCCTTTGGCAGGGGCCAGGGGCGCCTGGTCCTGGCTTGTGGCGTCGCTGAAGGCAGCGCGCCAACGCGCGTCCTCTGAGAGTGAACAGCGACTTCCGTTCCGGTGTCCTCTCCTTTCGATCAGCCTTCGCTGGTCTGATCGTCGCCGCCCTTTCCGCCGCCGCCCGCTGGCCCCCGCGAGACTGGCCGCTCCGTTGATTTGAGAGGGGGCGCTCGCGAGGCAGGCGCAGCGCTCGGCGCGCAGCGTTGGGCGCCCTGGAGGTCTGTCGCGACTCAAGGGCCTCGGTGGTCGTTCCCGCTCGCCGATGAGCGAGGCTGGGAAACTGGAGCCTGAACGGCACCGAGTGGAGAAGCGCAAACGAGCCGGGCCCAATCCAGCCGACGTTGCACGGGCCGCGCGGTCTCGTCAAATTCATGATGCGACCTGAACGGCGCGCGCCCAACGCCGCGCGGACATGGCACTTGCGCCCTGATGCGCGCCTGCGGGGCGGGGTTTGACCTCCTCGACTGACGATCGGCGTCGGCCATTCCTGCCGCGCAATGTGCGCGCGAATATCCAAAGTAACTTCTCAGGCGTTCGCCTCGTGACCATGGCGCGCGGGGGTGCAGCGAACGAGGGGGCAGCATATCACGCGCGCTCTAATGGCGTGTGAACCTGGGCCTAACACGCGATGGATCTTCTTTCTGGCAGGCCGCGAAATCACTCGAAGCCGAAAAAGCGCGACATATCAAGCCATCGCATTCTGGGAACAGCTCACGCTGTGCGAACTGCAGTGGCAGGCTAGCGCCCCCGAGCATTTTTCCCGCATCCCGGGGGAACGCACGTCGCCAGCCTGCAAACAACCATCGCGCGGAAACTCGGACATGCACAGGGGGCCATCAACGTGCCAAGCGCCCTGCGCGGTCTCCACTGCACGCGCGCCTCGGGTGTGAAAATCGGCTCGATTGGCGAAGTGGAGGGCCCGCGATGGGGGTCGACGACGCGCGGCCCCAAATCTGGCAGCGTCGCCGGCTCAAGGGGCGACGCTCCCCCGCCCCCCGACTGGCCGTGAAATATCGGGGCCAACTAGCGAATGCTGGCCTGTGGCCGCATGCCTGAGCGCGCGCCTGATGGCACTCAGAGAAAACGACAAGGTCGCGCCCAGGTCGGCGAGGGCCACCTGGCGAGAAGAGCTGACCCTCGGCTTGTTTACGCTGCGCATGCTCTCACCCCCCGTCGCCCCTGCGGTCGCTGGAACTCCCGCCGCGGGCCCGCGCGCCCCGGCGCGGCCGCCGGGAATTAATGCGCCTTTTGAAAAAATATTGGCGCGCGTTGTCTAATGGAAGACGTCAGGGGCTTACTATCGCCGCGCGCGCACGCGCGCGCACGCGCGCGCTGCGCCGCGGCTCGGAGCTCGCCCCCCCGGCTACGTGTCGCTGCTGGGAGATTGCTAGATTCCCAGATCGCCACCGTGGGGCCGCCAGATTTGCGCCGCATGACCCAGGCGCCTCGGACCGCGCGCGGCAAAGCCGCTTGCGCGCCTCGCGCAGCGTTAATGATCTCGCGCTCGCGGGCGCGGCGCAAGGCGCGAGCGCCCCCGCCCCCCCCCCCCCCCCGAGTGTCTGACGACGCGCGCGCTTGCGGCGGCAGCGCGTGCGCGTGGCGCGCCGCCAACTCGGGCAGCCCGTGATTTCCTCATTGGGCGGGGGCCGTATAAACGTCGCGCAAACGCTGCGACTCAACAACTCGCGGAGGCGCGCGCCTCAGGAAGTGTTTACAGCGGCCATGGTCATCCCGGGCGCCGCAGGTGGGGAGCTAAGTATCGACGCCCGCCCTGCCTTACAGCGTCCATGTACGCATGCATTCGGCAGAGCCCGCGGATGGCCCCGAATGATATCCCGACGTCGCATGTCCATCGTCGGCAAGACTGGCAAGACGCGCGCGGCCGAACAAGTCACGCGCGCGGGGCCGCGCAAAACCTGAAGCTTCCGCCCTGGAGCGCGCGCAGGCAATCCGCGGCTTTCTGATGCGAGCCAGCCGCGCGGCTCTCGCCGCAGGCACCGACGCGGCGACTCAACGCCCGAGGGTTTTCCAATATTCGGTGCGCCGGGTTTGGTGGGTGTATGCGTCGCGTTCTTGAAACACGTGTTATATGCTTGCTCGGGCGCATAGATTTCTGGGTAGGTGTATACTTCGTTTGGGCGGGTGTACATCATGCTTTTTTGGTGTTTTGTTGCGCGCGCCCGCTGCCCCGCAGGCGGAAAAACGAAAACGCCTCTGGAAATGCCGCGGATTTGCCAGGGCCGGTCCCACCCGTGCAGACGAATACGAGCATCATCGATGCTGGCGGCGACCTGCATGGCCGCGTGCAGTCGACGGGCTCGCTGGGCCCCCGCGATGGCGGCCTCCGCGAGGCGTCGGCAAGTCGCCCAAGACGTCCCCAGCGACCCCCCGAAGTCGGCACATTTGGGCCCCGAAGCAAATTTCGCCCCACGAGTAACGAAAAAAGATTGGCATCTGCATTGCGGGGTGGGTGTCGTGATCTTGCCCCCGAGCAGGCTCGACTGCAAAAGTGCCCCCCGCTCCGCGGTGGGGGCGCGTGTCAGCGCTGATCCGCGCGCGTTGGCCAATCTGGGCCGCATAATACTGCGCCGATCCAAAAGTTTCCCCAATTTCGCCACCGTGCTCGCAGCGGCCATCTGGGGCGGCGCGCGCAGGATAAGACTCGCGGGGCCCCAGGGCGGATGGGGGCGATGTCGCGAGGGCAGAGTCGGCGCGCCGATGGGCAGCCCGGCAACCCGTTTGACCAGATGGGCCCAGTGCAATTCAAGGGCAGAGCCTAATCCCCGCCCAGGGTCGCGGGATCGGGTTCTCTTCCTTTTAAATCCCAAACGGTGCGCTGACCCGAAAATGACCAAACGGCATAGAGACGACCCGAAAAGTGCACCAGCCGACCTGGAAGTGGCCAAATCCCAAAAGGACGAGTGCCTCAACAAATTTCGGGTCCGGTTCGAGCGACCCAAAAATGTGCAAACCACCTAAGACTCCTTGCAAAAACATCGTTCTCGTTGCGCGTGTTCTCCCAGCCGGCTGTGCGCGATCTGATGCGCGCACAAGTGCTTTGTTATCTGCTAGTGGTAGCGCTTTGTTATCTGAACCGCAGGTACACATAGTGCGGCGGTGCGAGGGCCAGCGCAATTTCGCCTTGATTTCCTCGCGTGCGTTCCTGAAGTTCTGTGATACCGTACAGCCCCTCATGATGGGGCATTGGCCCTACCACGGGGCAACATCCTGAAACGGCTTCTGGGGGTGAGCGTTCTCCAGCTTTGCACACTGGAAGCGTGCTGTCTTGTCGCGGTGAACACCAAGACTTATAATCCAATTGGATGGCGCAATGACGACTCCTTCTTCTCAAATGCGTCCCGTTTTTGTGATACCGTGATGCCCCCCGCGCTGGCACATTGGAGCTTCCACCAGGCACTACTCTGCTACGGCTGTATGGGGGTGAGCATTCCCAAACCTAGCACATTGGATGCGTTTCTCTGTCGACGCGAATACGAGGCAGTCGAATTTTGTCGGTTTTCGCATTTTCGCGCCCTTCTCCTCAAGTGCGCTGCTCATTTTTTTGATATCGTGCTGGGGCATCGGCCCTTCCAGCGGGCAGCGCCCTGATACGGCTGGATGGGGACGCACCTTCCCCAGCTTAGCGCATTGGAAAGGTTCGCCACACACCAGGAGTTCGGCAATTTCTGAACTTGCCTGTTCTAGCAAATCCGTTCTCTGACGAAGCGTTGGCCTCCATGAGACAGCCTAGCGGCAAAACCAGCGGTCCTGCGTACCCTCCATCTGTGTTTGCCCATTGTTGAGGAGATTGTCATCATGAGGTGAGCAACGGTGGCTGTCACAATGCATGCCGAATGCACGTGCCTAATACGAGCCTGAAGTGTCTCTGGTATGATACGTGCATCATCCGCGAAAGGTGGAATTTCCCTCCACTCTCACGGGCACCAACGATCAAGGATGGGAGAGCCAAGGTGCCCCAATCGACATAGTAACGGGCATGCGTACCCTTGAGGGCATCATCGCTACACTAAAGTCCTCCTCGTCTTCCTCCTCTGGATCGTCGTCGTCGTCGTCCTTCTCCTCCTCCTCCTCAGCCTCCTCCTCCTCCTTGCCCTCATGCTCTGGCTGTTCTGGCTCCTCCTCCTGCTCCTCCTACTCCTCCTCCTCCTCTTCCTTGTCCTCGTCCTCATGTTGCTCCTCTGGCTCCCCCTCCTCCTCATCAGCCTCCTCCTCCTCCTACTCGTCCTCATGCTCTGGCTTTTCTGGCTCCTCCTCCTGCTCCTTCTCCTCCTCCTCCTCTTCCTTCTCGTCCTCATCCTTGTCCTCGTTCTCATGTGGCTCCTCTGGCTCCCCCTTCTCCTCCTCCTCCTCCTCCTTTTCCTCCTCCTCCTCCTCCTCCTCCTCGCTCTCCTCCTCCTCCTCCTCTTCCTCCTCCTCCTCCTCCTCCTTCTCCTCGTCCTCCTTTTCGCCAGCATCCTCCTGTTGGCCCCTCCGGTGCCACTGCTCCTCCCCGGACGCCAGCGACACCGCGCGGAGCCCGCCGCCCTGCAGGGCGAAAAACGCCGTCGCGCCGTCTGGGCTCGCGTGCAGAGCCCAGCCCCGGGGCGGCGCCTCGGCAACGGGCAGGCGCTCTCCTCCTCGTCCTCCTCCTCCTCCTCCTGATCCATCTCCTCCTCCTCCTCCTCCTCCTCCTCCTCCTCCCTCCTCCTCCTCCTCCTCCTCCTCCTCCTCCTCCTCCTCCTCCTCCTCCTCCTCCTCCTCCTCCCCCTCCTCCTCGTCCTCCTCCTCCTCCTCCTCCTCCTCCTCCTCCTCCTCCTCCCCTCCTAGCCCTTCTCCTCCTCCTTCAACAGCTTCCTGTTCGGGATCAAGACGAAGAGGAGGCGCGCTCCGCACGGAGGCAGGAAACACGAATAGATGGAAACAAAGCCACGGCAAGCATATTCTACCTGTCCAACGTGACCTTGCGGCAGAAACTCCCGACCAAAGAACCCCTAGATTTCCTGGCTGTGGAGGGAACGTGGCAGTGGCGGAAGAAAGTTGGACGTGCCGGACGAAACGTGAGAAAACAGAACGCCGTAGGGGTCGAAAGCTGCATCTGCAGGTTGCAGATGCTGGGACAACGATTGCATCTCACGCTACATATTTCGCCTCGTCAGAATCCGACACAAAAAGGTGGAGAGCGACTTGGGGAACGAAAGGGCGAGAAGGCAAGTGGGCAATGAGGGAGGCTGACTGGGCCAGGCAGGGGGCAAGAGCGAGCCAACACAAACCCCAAACAGCGAGGACCACAAAGAATTCATTCCTGGCTCCTCCTCTTCCTCCTCCTCCTCCTCCTCCTCCTATCTTCCGTCTGATCCTCCTCCTCCTCCTCCTCCTCCTCCTCCTCCTCCTCCTCCTCCTCCCGCTCGTCCTGCTCCCCGTCCCGCGCAAGGCGGTGGTCTATCCATCGCCACCGCCTGCAGGATCGATCTTCGGGGCCCCTGGCAGGCGGTGGGCGTGGATGCCTTCGCCTCCCCAAGCGGCCCGAGGATATCCATGTGCCCATGGTGGTCCCGACGGTTGGTCGTCCCGATGCTTGGTTGTCCCAATGGGCGTCCCGATATCCTCCTCCTCCTCCTCCTCCTCCTCCTCCTCCTCTGGCTCCTCCTCCTCCTCCTCCTCCTCCTCCTCCTCCTCCTCCTCTCCTCCTCCTCCTCCTCCTCTGCTCCTCCTCCTCCTCCTCCTCCCTCCTCCTCCTCCCTCCTCCTCCTCCTCTGGCTCCGCCTCTCCTCCTCTCCTCCTCCTCCTCCCCTCCTCCTCCGCCTTCTCTGGCTCCTTCTGCTCCTCCCCTCCTCCTCGTCCTCCTCCTGCTCTGGTTTTTCTGGATCGTCCTCCTCCTCCTCCTAGTTCTCCTGCTCCTCCTCCTCTTCCTCCCTCCTCCTTCTCTTCCTCCCCTTCTCCTCCTCCTCCCCCTTCCTCCTCCTCCTCCCCCTCCCCCCCTCCTCCTCCTCCCCTCTCCTCCTCCTCCTCCTCCTCCTCCTCCTCCTCCTCCTCCTCCCTCCTCCTCCTCCTCCTCCTCCTCCTCCTCCTCCTCCTCCTCCTCCTTCTCCTCCCTCTCCTCCCCTCCCCCCTCCCCCACCATTCCTCCTCCTCCTCCTCCCCCTCGTCCTCCTCCTCCTCCTCCTCCTCCTCCTCCTCGTCCTCCTCCTCCTCCTCCTCCTCCTCCTCGTCCTCCTCCTCCTCCTCCTCCTATCGCTATCGCTATCGCTATCGCTATCGGCTCGATGTCCTGTCGGACGCAGCCGTCCGCGCGGCCCGAGCTACGCGCGCGCGCCCGAAGCGCGTAGGGGGGACCACCCCCCGACACAGACCCCCGCCAGGAGGACAAAGGGAAAGCCGCCTAGGCTTCGAAAGGGGAGGGGCGGGGGCCGAAAAGGACCGAGAAAACGGGCCCAGGAGTTTCGGGGACGAGCGGCCAGAGGAAGGAAGAAAGAGGATGACTTGATGGAGGATAAGGGAGAGGCCGCATGGGGGTGGCAAGATGGAGCGGGAAGAGGGGGCTCATTAAAGGCCTGAGGAGGAAGGGAAACCACCCCCATGACGGCCTGCACGCAGGCGGCGGCCCAGGTCGGTCAGGCCTGAACCGTGTCCTCCCCCCCCTCGCCCTCGAGGGGGCGTCCAGGATGGGGCTGGCGGCCACCTTGAGCGCTACGGCCGTCTTGCCGTGGTGGGCGCCTGTCTCGACCATCATGGGCCATGTTACGGCCAGATCGGGTCGTCGGATCAGCAGGTTGCTGTCCGACCTCAAGCTGGGGCAGACTGCCCAAAATGGAGGTGACGAAATCGTCGAGGGGATTGCCGTATTCCTGGGAGAGGCCGCAGTAGATGGCGTAGAGGTTGCTGGTGGCGTCTACCATGGTCGGTCGTCTCGTAGCAATATTCTCCGTAGCGTAGAACATCAGCTCAGTATTCCACATCACTGACGGACCTGCTGGGGCTGCGGATTGCGCTAGTAGTGCTGGTACTTCGGCAACGTGAGCAGCATGGAAGGTGTGGATGGCGAGGCGGGCATGGTGGTTCGCGATCAGTCGACGTTCGGCTGCCTCACCTCCAAGGTTTACTCTGCCCCAAGGGTCCGTGGTCGTTCTGGAAGATGCTGCCGTTCTGTCGTGCGGGTCGCCATCGACTTGGTCGATCCAAGTGCTGGGTGAGAGGTTGATCATCACTCCCGCGAAGTCGCCTTGTCGAATGTGCCGGTGGATCGAGTCGAGGGCGTCGTACTGGGATGGGTGATCGACAGAGTAGAGATCATCGAAGGTCAGAGTAACCCGTTCCATCACCATTCCATTGTAGCATAGTCGTTGGTCCGTAATGTCGAGCAGATCGTTCGGGTGTCTATCGGTGTTGGTGAGGTAAAGCAGAGATCTGTTTCTGGTCAGTGTCCGAGGGTAGTAGGCTGGTGGTGGTGGTGTAAGCGCTGGTACAGTCGGGAAGAATGGCGGTGGTGAAGGTGATAGGTCAAGGGAGGGCAAGGGAGTGACGTCGGATGCATGGGCAGGGATAGGGTGGTATAGTTCGGGGCGGCCTCTGCGTTTGTTGTCGGCTATGCTGGCCGCGTAGGTCGCCTGATTGGTGGCCACTTCCTCCTCCGTGAGGGCAGGTCCTTGTAAATACCACAGGTGCCATGACCGTCGGCAGCGGGCTACTGTAGTTAGATGCTTCACTAGCTTGGCGAAGGAGTGGAAGTTCTGGCGGCATATTCTGCACGATGTACCCGATGCCCAGTTTCGCGGATGATCGGGTCGTCGGTGTTCACGTCCGATATGTATTGCCATGCCCTGCTTGGTCTTGGTAACGATTCCACACTCGTAGCAGATGAAGTTGCTGGCGCCGTTGTCGCGTGATGGCGTGGGGCCCGCACCAATGGGACCGTCGGGTCTGAGCACCTTGGTCAACTTGTCGGCGTGGGCGTGGTCTTTGGAGGCGCGGATGTAGTTTGTGACGGCCAGGTTGACGGAGTTGGTGAAGTGCTTCGGCGTGGTGCGAGCCCATGCAAAAACGTCGGAGTCGAGCTTGCTGGTCGTGGGCCAGCGCTGGTCGTCCAGGTATGTGCGCAGGAAGTCGAAGTCCTGGAAAAGCATGTATGTCCATGAGCCCTTTCTCCGTCGCTGGTTGTCAAGCAGTTGGAGGAGCTGCTGAGGAGCGTGTCGTAGAAGCCGTGGTAAGTATCTCAGCCGTCCAGCAGACTGGTGGTGGTCGAAGTCGGGGATGCCAGTATAAGCTACTACTTCGGTGGCCGTGAAATGATGAAGCTGCGAGTTTGCTTTGGGTAATCCAGCTGCCGTGCGATAGGGCTTCGAGTAGGCATTGGAGATGCGCTGGTGGTCAGTCTGGGTCAGTGCTGGCCAGACGTGATGGTTGAAGGTCAATGAGGCAGTCGAGAGGGCGTGCACGTACTTGATCTTCGTTTTGCGGGGTAGGCGTCGACGTCGTAGGATTTGCCTCTCAAGAGCTCGTGCCGAAGCGTCGGTTCGTCGCATGCGATTCTGCACCTCGGGGCCCATGCTGCCGTTGGTGAGGATGGTGCCTAAGAGTCGGTGCTGGTCTGTGATCTGGACCGAGATCGACATGATGCTCAGCTGGATTGATGTAATGTTCTGCTGTGCAAGCCTACTGCGTGCGACGTTGGAGCCCGTCCCGTTAAAGGAGATGATGACCTTGGTCTTGTCTGGGTGTGGCTTGAGCCCGTAGGTAAAGGCTGTACGGCATAGCCGTTCGGCTGAAGTTCTTGTAATGTCAATGATGTCGGAGTGGCGGGTGGTCGAGTTGAAGTCGGTGGGGTCGTCGACGAAGGACATGTTGGTCAGCTTGCCGCCGTGATGAGGAGCCGTAGAGAAGAGCGGGTTGTCGCAGGGGCGGATGTGGTGGCCGCTCTCGCCGTCTTCTGCCCCATCGGTGTCGTCGGCGATGGCCTGAAGCACTAGGGAGAAATGCATGTTGAAAGCCGCGTCGGAGTATGGCACCCCTGGCCTGGTACTGGTGCGAGGGATCACGTATGCGTCGGTGCCCTTAGCGGTCATCCAGTTGGCCGTGTGGTGGTCGGCAACGAGGGCGCAGAGGTGAGAGTCGTCGACGTGGGCGTTGAGATGTGCTGGACAGCGAAGACGTTGTCGTAGGGAGGGGAGGAGGCAGATGGGAATCTCGATGTTGTCGATGACGTCTTCGAGCTCGTCCTCCTGAGTCGGCAGCTGGAAAATGAACTCCCTGATTACCGAATGGAAGGCTTCTTTCAAGTCCAGGAAGAGGATGCTGCCCGTGCGAGCCTGCGTACGGCAGTCGTCCAAGAATGTGTAGGCGGTGTGAGTGATGAAGTCAGTCGCCTTGTGAGGGACGGCGCCGCATTGTGTGTCCATCAGCAGGTCGGGTAAGATGTCGCGGAAGAGGCCTCTCAGGAACTTGCTGTTGATCTTGCCAATAGTGTTGTTCAGGAGGATGCCCCTGTAGGCTTTCTGCAGATGAAGCTGTCCTTGTCCTTTGGAGAAGTGGGTGGAGAAACCGCCCTTCGCCGAAATGGGCTCCGTCGTCATCAGTTGCATCTTCATCATGATGGGGTGCAGAAGTCGGGCAATCTG